CGGGTTTAAGTGCCGCGCGAATCCACGGCTCGCGTATTTTCCTTTCACCGAGTACCCAGCATCCACTCCCGGGGACTTTTCAGCGCGGGATTCCTCGCGCGCGGCAGATCAAAGGGACTCTCGGCGCGGTGTAATCCTTGATCGGGGTGACATCAGAATTTTCGAGGGTGGCTGCCGCCAACCCTTCGTCAGCGCGCGAGATTTATGTCCGGTTTACATCACCGGCGTCGCATAACCAGCCGCTGTGGACCGCGCCGCGCGTACTCACTCGTAAATCGTTTCGAGGAGTACGTATTCCCTATATTGCGTCGACGTAAGTTCGACATCGCTCCGCTGCTCTGAATAATGCAGATGCAGTTCCGGATTATGCGCCGTGAATGTGGATTTTATTTTTGATTTGCGAGGGCTCGCAGGGATTTTAGAGTGCGGCGATTTCGGGACGAAGCTGTGTGTTCGATGCGATGGAAGAGTGGAAGCGATGGGATTGATAATGGATCTCTTGATTGATACTCTTGGGAATGTGGTTTATATGGCGATGGAGGAAGCTTTCGATTTGTCTCAGATAAATGATGATATAGGGGCTCAATTATAAAACTGAGACTAAAGGAGAAATAATAAGAACGATATTGTTCTTAATGTTTTATCGAACGATAGATTTCCTTTTTATAAACACTAGGTTCCAAACAAAGCGAAGCAAGTTCCATCTACAACAAAAACCCCATCTAATCACCTGACTCACCCCTCTATTCCATCAAAGCCAAACCCCAGTCGCCATAAGAAACGAATTGCCCGTCTCTTCGAAACTGCCACCCCCGAAGCCACCCAATCCAGATCTACCGTTTCCAGCGTAGCCCGACCGCGAGCGACCGCGATCGAACGAGGCTAGTCGCGCGAGGTTAATTGCGAGGATATTCATCTTCCGTTTAATCGAATCGATTGAAGAATCCCCCACCCTTTCGCCGAGCGATCTCTAACGAGCGTCATTGTTCCAGGGGCAGGACAACATGAACTCTAGCGGCGAGTCAGGCGGCACGATGACCGAGGACTACGAGGTGTCCGGCTGCGGTCCGCCGGAGGAGGAGACGGGTTCGAACTTGCCGGTGTGGGAGGCAGCCGCAGCCTCGCTGACGCTGGGCTTCCTGGTGCTAGCCACAGTGCTGGGCAACGCTCTGGTGATCCTGAGCGTGTTCACCTACAGGCCCCTCAGGATCGTGCAGAACTTCTTCATCGTCTCCCTAGCGGTGGCGGACCTGGCGGTGGCCATCCTGGTGATGCCTTTCAACGTCGCCTACCTGCTGCTGGGCAAGTGGATCTTCGGCATCCACCTGTGCAAGCTGTGGCTGACCTGCGACGTGCTCTGCTGCACCGCCAGCATCTTGAACCTCTGCGCGATCGCGCTGGACCGGTACTGGGCGATCACGGACCCGATCAACTACGCGCAGAAGCGCACCCTGAAAAGAGTCCTAGCGACGATAGCCGGCGTGTGGATCTTGTCCGGCGCGATCAGCTCGCCGCCATTGGCGGGCTGGAACGACTGGCCGGAGGAACTGGAGCCCGGCACGCCCTGCCAGCTGACCAGAAGACAGGGTTACGTGATATACTCGTCCCTGGGCTCTTTCTTCATCCCGCTGCTGCTGATGAGCCTGGTCTACCTGGAGATCTTCCTAGCCACCAGGAGGAGGCTCCGCGAGAGGGCCAGGCAGAGCAGACTCGGCGCCGTGCAGTCCACCAGGCATCGAGAGGCGGACGACAACGAGGAGTCGGTGAGCTCCGAGACCAACCATAACGAGAAGTCGACGCCCAGGGCGCACGCGAAGCCTTCGTTGATCGACGACGAGCCCACGGAGGTGACGATAGGCGGCGGCCACGCGACCACCTCGTCCTCCAGGAGGTTAGCCAGCGGCAGTCGACCGGCGGCCACCACAACCACGGTCTACCAGTTCATCGAGGAGCGCCAGAGGATCTCGCTGTCCAAGGAGAGACGAGCCGCCAGGACGCTGGGCGTGATCATGGGCGTGTTCGTCGTCTGCTGGCTGCCGTTCTTCCTGATGTACGTGATCGTGCCGTTCTGCCCGGCCTGCTGCCCCTCGGACCGCATCGTCTACTTCATCACGTGGCTCGGATACGTGAACAGCGCCCTGAACCCGCTCATCTACACGATCTTCAACCTCGACTACAGGAGAGCCTTCAGGCGGCTGCTGCGGATCCGCTGAACAGGGGATCGCTCGCGGACGATGCTCGGTTTTTCTCGCGGGGACTGAAGATTAATAACTCCGTTCCTCCTCGTTTCGCGTTGCTCTTCGCTTGGCGGCGGAAACGGCGAAGCATCCGGTCGCGGGATCGATGGACGAGCGAACCGGACCGCCAGGACCGACGGTTGCGATGGACCCCGAGCGGCAGGCGACCGCGATTTAGTTTCCCGTCGCCGGCGCACGATCGAGCGGTACGCTGGGCCACCGAGCGGGATACTAAATTACTAGGAATTTCAATAAAACCCGGCTCTACGGCGTCTCGCGTTTATTTCGGTGGGCGCGCGGGGCACGCTGCGGGAACGCGGCGACCGCGCCGCTGGCGCAGGAATTTCGGGCGAGACGCCGGTCGATATCGGGACGAAATTGATTGCTGTTTTCGTGGTCGCTGTGCGGGATGTTCCATGCGTTCGCGTCGCGATGGAGCGTGGCGGTGCTCGGATAGGTGCTTTAGATGAAAACGCCGGTCGCATCGGAACCTTTGCGATCGCCAGCTTCGATTTCGCCTCTTGTAGATGGATGTACGTTGCGAGTAGAACATTCGGTTTCGAAGCATCGGCTTCGGGAACGTGCCGTCAATCATTTGTGCACTTTCGATTCGTTGCGTCGGGATATGCACTCTGGCTGTACGATCGCAGATAGCGCCCTTTGAATGGCGAACCGCGGAGTTTCTACATATCATTGCCGAATCGTTTTGTAAGAGTCGTTGGAGATCTTTCCGCTCGGTCACGTAGGTATTTTTCGTTGAAGTAAGGATCTTCGACAGTTGCAACGTTTCGAGAAAACACGGTGCCGCCGATACACAGGCGTCCGCAGTTCCTTCGCGCGCCATCACGCACGGCGCAGCCGTAATTAAATGATCCCGCGAGTTCGTGCCGCAAACTCTGCGTCGCGTTTCATGGTTGCTCGATCACAGAATCCTTTAATTCCGCTGGGAACATAGTAGAAGACCTCGGTGCGCGGCGAATCGGATTAGCTGCACCGAAAAGCTGTGCGCGGCGGCGTTTTTCATCGCGACCACTCCCGTGTGTGCATCGCGGCGGTTTCGCGCCACCGATTACCGTCCCGCGAGCGGTGCCTCGGTTGATCTCTCGCGCGAGGGAGAGCGTTCGCGTCACCGAAAAATTCCGCCGTCCGGAACATGTTAATTGAATCCAGGGCGCGCAGTTCGGCACGGTACGGCGGCCGGTTACAAATTCGCGTCGCGTCAAAGATTAACTGCGTCGACAAGAGACGCGATAGTCTAATTCCGTTGCGGCGGCCGCCACGAACCCCGTTTCATTAAAGTTGCTCCATTAATCCTGCGAGGTGACTCCGGAAACAAGCGAGCGTGTGTGCGTTAACGCGAAACTCAGGCTGCAATTGAAGACCACCCGTGTTTTTCGGCGTAATTCCGCCAATTTTGACGACTCTGTTGCGATTAGCGCGGACTTTGGACGCAATCCAATTATGTAAAGGCATCATTTGTTCGTGTAATGCGCGGGGACGAGATCCTGAAGGAATTCAAGTTACTGTGCGGCTAGTTTCTAGATTTTCACGGTTCCGTCGCGATTAGCGCAAGCGTATGGGCGACATTCGATCGTGCTGGCGGAGGTTCTCGATCTTTTCGATCGCACGCGTGCGGATAGAAGACCTCGGGGGAATCGGAGTTGCAACTGTGGCTGGTCCAGCGATTGCTCGATCGTTTCGCGTACTTTTCTTTGCCAATTTTCGTCAATTCCGGCGGCTCCGTCGCGAACAACGCGAACGTGTGGATGGGATTCGATCAGCCAACAACGAAACGCGCCTGCAACACCGCCGCGATGCAGAAGCTCGAGCGTTGGTGTATTATCCTGGTCGATCGTTCCATTTGCCGCGGGACTGTGGAAGCTATTGGAAAGAAATGCCGGGTTCGAATCATTTCGCGGGTGGATCGACGCCAGCTAGAGGGCTATTGAATTCTTCGTGGCATCCCCCTGTGTTTTATTATCGCCGGCAGCAGCGGGCTCGTAAATATACTTTCAAGCTGCCGTTGCGGCTTCGGGTACTCGCGAGAATGTAGAACTTTATCTCGGGATGTCGCCTGAGGAAAGGCGAGTACGGTTTGCGACGAAATGATGGCGGGTTGCGTAAAATTGCTGAGTTCCTTAGTAGACTCCTTAATAGAGTATAACGCGAGATCAATGACAAAGATTAAATAACAGCTGAGACGTCAACAATCCAGAATTTCGAGATAGATAATTATATCTTCAAAACTGCCACTGATAATTCGAAGTCAGGCGATTATTTAACACTAGAACTACATTTAAATTGTCCTTTTCAAATTTCTCCGTGGAAACTAAATAGCGCGACTATTGAGACTTCAATCGATTTGCAACATAGTTTGCGTATTGCTAAATGAATGTCTCTAGTGATTTCTCAACAACTGGAGAAAAATAAATCATGAATAAGTGATTTTGACCCATCCGGTAGTTCTAGTGTCAAATCTTCGTCGAAGCATTCAATCACACGACATGAAGATTCCGACGCAACCAGCAATTTTCCATTATCTTCCAAGATAATCCACGGAACAAGCCACCTTTGTTCTACCGCTTTGTCATCATTTCGTCGCTGATCGTAGACTACAGAGTGTCCAGTTTCCAGCTCGTAGTCGACGGAACGGTCCGGCCATTTCGAAGGTAACAAGCAAACGAGACGCGCCGAAGACTTCATGTTCGCGCCGCCGATCTCCACGGGAAGTGGAGGCCGATCCGCGTTTTACGGATAGGAATTTTCTACGAAATCGACCAAAGACTCCAAGTTAAGGACGTTTTAGAAGTTAGATCACAGTGTATCCTAGACGGTACGCGCACGCATTGTAATCCGTGTCTAGCATGAGAAGGACCCGCCAGCGCGCGACATTCTCACCCCCCTCACCCCGCCAGCGTTTTCAACCGCTGAAAATGAGCGAGGATTTATTCGTGGAACAATGGGGATGGTTACCCTGCCGCCCGACGGCCCGACGATCGTTCCCTCGTCGAGAGGACGGCCGTTCTTGAAAGAACGTTTTGTTTGATGTCGGCTAAACCAGCCGCCTCCGAGGTTCAACCTTCTTGCCTTCAAAGAGGCTCCATCCTGGTCAGAAAAGGCGGCTGAAGGCGACGCGATTCACGGTCACAGTCAATCAATCGAGCGTCCCCCGTTAACGGAGTCAAGGCTTCGGTCTTTAACGCGTTTCAAACGTTATTGAACAGCTCCGTTTCCTACGGAGGCCGGCTGCTCTGTGTTTGGTTTCTTTCTTGCTTCAGCCTTCCGTTCTTTTGAGTTGCCGAGTCTTGACACTCCCGGATAACGCCTCGTTCTCTTCTACTCGGCTTTAATTAACACCGGTTGCTATTTACGGCGCAATCAGAGGATCTTCGAGCTGTATGGAAATGTTTGAAATTACGAAAGATGATTTAGGAGGATCGATGAAGATCTAGTCGTTGATATTCGCTTCGTTGGAAGTATATTCTGAAGATTGAAGATTGCAATCGTTAAACATAACATTTACGATTCATTTACAAGCGTTTCTGAAAGTGGAGACAAAGTTTTTTTTATGTTTACTCCGAGGAAACGTAAATTTCGTGCAGCCGTACTTTCCATGCAATGCGAAGTCCGCGTTAAATCAGTCTCACGCGATTTGGTTGTCGGAAAGCTGTGAACGAAACACGACTTCCTAATCTCCGATCGCTGTACCGCGTATCTATATGCAGATGTAAGCCACACGGAAGAAGGTTGATCCCCGACGAGCGAACGTTACAGTCCCTTCTCGATCGCGGTAACGAGCGCAGGACCTCGCGTGCCCGGTAGCCGAGCCATTCATTATCAATCGCAAATATTATGGTTGTGAATATTAATAACAAAGAATTCCATGGCGCTGAGAAGCGAGCACTGTATAAAGTAAAATAAGAAAACGACAAAAAAAGAAGTGAAAAGCGTCGTTCGCCGCTGACGAGTGCACACATGAAACACACGTATACACGGGACAGACACACACGCGTACACATAGCGAAGAAAACGGAAACGAAAGTAGAATGGTGGCGGTTCGACTTCGAATAGAGGTGCAGGAGGTGCCCTGTAAATAGACTGTAAGAAAACATGGCGATTCCACTTGAAGGAATAGGTCAAAAATGTAAAACGCAGTTTCACTTCGGGGATCTACCCCAAAAAAAGTTCATCTTCTGAACATCGTCGAAGTATCCGATTCAAGCGCAGTCATTTTCGGTGCCCGCGATATTGAAGTATCGAAGGTAGAATATTCCAACGAAGTTTCTTCTACAGTTCGCCTGTGTTTTCCATAATAGCGACCAAGCTAAAACTGCGCAAGAGCGAGGGAACGCGTCCATTCGCTCTCGACCCAATACCGCCTGTTGCACAAGGGTCGGCACTTTGGTTTCCTTGGTCAATTTTCATCTTTTCTCATTTTCGATATTCATTCGCTATTCGTCGATACTGTTACATGTAATCAATGGAAACTATAAACGAAGTACATAGCGATCTCGCCTTTACGCCGTTCAGAGTTCCAATTCCGGTGCAACAGACGGTAGTCGTGGCGAGTCAGCGTCGCCAGGCTTTATTATTAGCCGAGTCGCGCGACAAAGATCGAAAACGAAACAAAATTCGACGAAGCGAGACGTAAGATCGCTAGCGCCGGATTTCAGCTCTACGCGGCGACGGCTTTTTATGTTTACTGTTATATATCCAATCCCGGGAAGACGGAGACTCGGCTAGTATGTTTTCTAGAAGCACCTAGATTCAACGGTTGATTCCCTTTGCCCCATTGCATTCTTAGCTTGGCGATCGCTACTAGAGAGGAAAGAGGCGAATAGTATGTAAATTTTCGACTGATTGCTCCGCGCGGAGTCGCCATCTTGTCGCCGCGCCGCTGGCTACGGGGCATCCTCTGTCCAAGATGGCCACGGTCTTCTTTCTATGGATAGGCGCGCGCGTGTCGCGCGACGGACGGATGCGTTCCACGCGGCCGGGACACGAAGATTCAATTTCCGTGCTCTTCGACGTGCGTCGACGTTAATCGGACACGGCGTGGCGCGTCGATCCGCGCGCATAAAGGGAACTACTCCTGTTTCAATCCCCGCGAGAGCAGATCGGCGAATGAAAAAGTCTCGCGACGTTTCGACGAACGTTGCCTCGTCGCGGGACGGAACGTGTCGTTCGGACAGGACTTTTCCCATTTTCTTTTTCTACTCGTTCCTCGCGGAAAATTGGGTTTGCTCCAGCCTTTCGAATAACCTTCGTTGAACTTCGTATTAGCAGTCGCAACAAATGACGGAGAACGGACCACGTCTTGGTTTAAAGTGCTTAAAGCAATTGCTCGAACTGGGAACAGATTGTCGTGGAGAAAATTGGCTTTACCGGTTGTGCAGATCTTAGAGTGGGATCTTTTGTGTTTAAACGAAGGATGGAACTGGGCAAAGAGAAATTGCAGGAGGGTGCATGAGGGAGATCTTTTTACGCAGAGGGGAAAAAGGAAGAAAGTTGCTCGCAGTACGAGTATAGCGATTTTATTCCTTCAGCCCTTTTACTTTCTTGCCTTTTGATTTCTCGGCTGATTACACTCAGAAGAGCTGCTTTATTGTTAATGTCTTCCCTTCAGCGGGAGGAGTTACGCATTCGTTCCAAGGGTGAATGAAATGTGAAGGTGAAATATTTATAAGCAGAGGGCAGTATTTTCTTTAATGTAATAAATATGAATACCACCTATTTATTTTAACTCGTATCAAAATACCGCTCGCCTGCTATCAATATTCAATCTTCAATGAATAATCCCTCCAGTCCAGCAAACTTTTCAAACGAATTTGTTCAACTTCCAATACACGAGTCGTTCTTTCAATATTCTTTCAGAAAAAGATTGAAAGGTTGCAGCGGATCCCATTTTCCCTCGGAGCGAACGCGAAAAACGGAGAAGCCGGTAGATCGACTAAATCAAAAAGCTCGAAATTCGTAACGGTTCGATGTTCTCCACTCCACGACCCTCGCGTTGCACGTAATTCGCCGGGATACCTCCGCGACGAGCCCTTCCCATCGTTCCTTGGTCGTTTCAAGTTCCCGGCGTATCCGACGAGCAGGACACCGTGAAGAGGGACAGCTTTCAGTTGTATGATCGACGCGCTCGTTCGTTTCGCGTCGGCGCGCGATCGTATCTCTCGCATTAACCGAGTCGTTACCGATTAACGAGGGAATAGGTGACGCCCGGTCGCCGACCCTCGCGTCGAATCGAGTCCGATCGAACGGGAAAGGAACGCATCCGGAAAACAGCCGGCAAAGACAGCGAAAAGAAAGAAGACGTGGAACGAGGGAGGAATACGCTTCGCAGAGTACGCTCGGAACGGACTGCACAGCGTATCGCGGGCAAACGGATTCCGTCGAGAGCGCAGGACCGCCAGGTGTCGAAAATCGAGGGAACCACGAGAAAATGGACGAGGAAAAGAGAGAAAGAAATAAGGCAACTCGAGCTCGTCACCAGGGCACTCTATAATAAGGTTGTGATAAGGTTGTGAGAAACACGCTCGTAGCCGTGCTACGGGCGGACACAAGATTTTTAATTATTAGGATAGACGAAATGAGAACGTTTACTTTATTCGTGGCACTGTCCAAAAATCCGACCGGAGCTCCCGTCCAAGAAGAGGATCACACCTTGCGACGCTTGAATAGTTTTCGTCGGACGTGAAAGCCGACCCCGGCCCTGTTCCACGGGTTTCTTTAATCCCGTTCCCGCCCCCCTTCCGCCCTGCTCTTCTTCGCGTCATCTCCGCCGCCGCGTCGCGCCACGCTGACAGGCAACCTTGCTCCCCGACCTCATCTCCCGATCCTCGGTTCAATCCGAAGAGGCAAACTTCCGCCAGCCTTAACCTTGTTAATACCTTGGAATTTTTATAGTTGCCATTTCGAGACCCTTCGGGAAACGGGATGTTATCGATGAAGACTTTATCGATCCTTAGCTACTGGGTACCTAGACACACACGTTCTTTTGCATTTCCTTTCGGGAACTTCGTTATGCTCTCGAAGAAGGAAGATTCCTTCGAATCTCCATTGTTCGAGGACTTCTGCGATTCCTGCTTTGAAGGTTACACATTCAATATTGTAATGCTGAAGTTTGAACGGATAGACGAAGTTGCTAGCGCAAGCCAAGATCAACGCGGTTTTACAGAAACCGAACGTCACTCGGGAGAATGTACGTTTTCCTTTGGAGTAGTGCTTTTCTTTCGATGGAAGCTCGTATAAAAGTGAGATATCATTGGAAATACTCGAATCGTGTTACAAACAATATTTTATTACAAGCGAAACGAGTTAAATTGAAGAGAGTTAACGCAGTAGTGGATATACGAAATCCAGCTCTGTAGAAGTGCTCGTAAAGTCCAGGGGAACTGGAATCATGTCCCGGTTAATCCTTGCGAACGATCGGGCACCGGTTTATCGCGAGTTTACCACGTCCCGCCCATTTTTATAGGGTCAACTCGTGACCGATAAAGCTCGCGCGGAGGACGGTTGATGATCGCTGATTAGGGGCGGGCCAATTAGCCGCCCTCCACTAGCTCTCGGCGCGTTTATCTGTCAGTCGAGGTGTTCGGGAGCTTTCGTGGGTCTTG